GGTGATGATAATGATGATGGTGGTGATGATGATGAGGATGATGGTGGTGCTGATGGGGATGATGATGACGATGATGTGGTGCTGATAGTGATGATGATGGTGATGATAATGGTGATGGTTGTGCTGATTATGATGCTGCAGCTACCGATGCTGATGATGCGTGAAAATAATATTGACGATGACAGATCTAGATGGTGATAGTGATTAAGAAATTGTTCGTTTTTATTCATTTATTCCTTTATCTACTTATTCATTCATTTATTTATTCATTTATTCATTCATTTATTCATTCATTCGTTCATTCATTCATTCATTCGTTCCCTCATTTACCCACTTATTCATCCGTCGTTCAATATTCCACATAAAAACTCCACTACAAAAAAAATCAAACCTACAAACACACACCCACACAAACACACACATTCACAAGAACACATACACAAACACACACTTACACAAACAAACACACACACAAATACAAACACGCTCTCACACACACAAACACACACACGCAAACAAACAAACACATGCAGCTGGGTTCCTGCAGAGCATGTGATTGCGACCCGCGTGGATCGACCCCAGGTACCCAGTGCAACAAACTGACGGGGGCCTGCACCTGCCAGCCAAACGTCATCGGCAATGCCTGCAACACTTGCATGGAAAACACTTTCAACCTTTGTTTGTTTTTTGGGGGGTTTTTTATTTATTTTTTTTAGTTTTCATTTTAGTATTTTTCCAGAAGTTTCAGCAACAATTACACGAACTGCATAGAAAAAATACAAACTAACGGTTGAATAAAAATAAACATACAAAACACACAAAACACGCTAAACATACAAAACACGCTAAACATACAAAACACGCTAAACATACAAAACACGCTAAACATACAAAACACGCTAAACATACAAAACACGCTAAACATACGCAACACACAAAACGTACGAAACATACAAAACACTCAAAAACATACAAAACACATACTAACATACAAAAACACACACACACACCACAAGTACAACAACCACCGCAACCTCAACAACCACCACAACCTCAACAACCACCACAACTACAACAACCACCCCAACTGCAATAACGCAGCATCCAGTGGATGTCGGCCTTGCACATGTGACCTCTACGGTGTCATTGACCTTCACAACACCTGTGACGTCATAACCGGAAACTGCACGTGCAAAGAAGGTGTTTATGGTCCGAAATGCGACAGCTGCAAACCTTTCTACTACAACTTCCGACGTGCACCGGAAATCGGAAGTATAAGCGGATACGGAAGTGGCGGTTGCCAGCCGTGTCCGTGTGATGTTTCTGGAACTATTTCCTGTAATGATGTGACTGGCGCGTGCCTTTGTAAGCAGAATCGATCCGGGGAGAGATGTGACCGATGCATTAGTGGTCAGTTTGGATGATGATGATGATGACGATGATGATGACGAAAGTACTGATGATGATGACGGTAACGACGACGATGATTGTTATGGGGTTAAAGTTATGTTTTCGCCCTGACTGATCGCCTGTAGTTTAGTGATTTCATCATTTGAAACTTACTACAGGCTACTATTCAAACTCCTCGTCATCATCATCAGCATCATCATCGTCAATGACGTCGCCGATGACGCCACCAACATGTCTGCCGTGCAACTGCAACCTCGCCGGGACGATCCTGAACACTGCATGCGACCCTCTGACCGGCCAGTGCCAGTGCAAGATGGCCGGAAGTGGAGTTGGAGGATTGGCGTGCGACACCTGTCTGCCCATGTTCTGGGGTTTTAGCACCACTTCCGGAGAGTTAGTTCGTTGGGGTTTGTTTTTTTGCAAAGTGAACCAGCCAATAGTGTGCGTCGTGTGTAGGATTTAAATGAGAGTAGTTAGTTTAGCTGCATGGATGCACGTGTGTTTGAGGGTAGTGCCTCTCAGTTTGTGTAGCCAACTTACCAGCCGAAATGGTTAATTCCGCAATGAAGTGTAATTATATATCACCAGACCATTCACCACTATTATAGGTCACTGAACCGCTTCATATACTGTCATCGTCATCTGTAAATGTTTTATATATAGACTCGGAGATTGATTTGAGACATTTGGACTCCTTGATATGAGTCTTGATCACCAGCATCTTCTTATAGATGCTGGTCATCTTTCTTTCCTTGCATAGAATCTCCAAGATGGGTCAGTTCACTTTGACCTGCTGTCTGCTTGGCTTACAAAGGCCTGCAAGCAGTACTTCGCATGTCCATTTCCATCCATCAAACATTTCCATACATCTTTTGCCCTGGGAAGAGAATAATTGACCTTTAACCTTTTTCTAAACTTTAACCTTTTGACACTTCTTTCTCCTGCGTGCAATCACTTCATAGAGAATCGCAAAATAATGCAAATAACAACAACAACAACAATAATAATAATAACAAAATTCCCCACAAGATGTCAGCCATGCAAGTGCGAGCCAGCGGGCAGTCAGGACAACGAGTGTAACGTCGGCACGGGTCAGTGCAAATGTAAAAGGCTGACGTCTGGCAGGCGATGCGACGTTTGTGTGGATGGAGCCTCTGACCTTTCGGCTTCCAACCCGGACGGCTGTGTTCAAGGTGAAGGTCATTTCTGTCTTTTATTTATTATTGTTTTTTTTTAGTCTTGTATTGTTTGTTCAGCCCTGACACGCGCAGATGTGGTTAGTCAGGTATGATTGATCATTCTGTAATTAATTAGAGTTAAACTCTCGAGCAACAAAAGTTGAAATATATACTTGTTTTTTTTTCTTCATTGTTGTCGTCGTTGTTGCTGCTGTTTTAATGATCCAATTAACTGCTTTTCATGTTTGTTTAATTATTTTATTATTATTATTTCATATTTGTTTTATTATTATTTTTATTTTTTTATCATTATTTCATATTTGTTTTTTTATTATTATCATAATTATTTTATTTTTATTATTTTCTCATATCTGTTCAGTGCCGGGACAAATGCTACCGGTCTCGGTGATGGACTCCGGCCCGACATACTTCACGTTGTCATGGTTACCGCCTCGCGAAGCGAATGGAATTCTGATTGGATACAAGTTGTTCAGGGATGGCCTGATGATCTACAACGGGACGAATAACGGTTCGAAATAATTGTTCAACTACCGATGATCCATATGATGTAACAATGCATATATATATATATATATATATATATATATATATATATATATATATATATATATATATATATTTACCAAATGACGGTTCTAAAAATTCATTTTAGATAGTTAAAATAATACTCAACTATAATATAATAAATTAGTACTGTTTATAGGTGAAATAAAATTAAGCATTTAATTATTTATTCTTCTCAATACCGACAGATACGGTTTACAATGATACCGGCTTAGAACCGTACACGAAATATTCGTACCGGATATCGGTGGAGAACAACGTCGGCACAACATCAAGCCCATCTCTAACTTTTCAAACTGGCCAATCGACGCCGAGCGGTAACTTCACCTTCAAAGTGACCAACATAAAATCTAGGTCAGCTCGAGTCACATGGTCACCGCCGTCGAAAAATAATGGGGTCATCCGGAAGTACGTTGTCAGGATTTCAGAGATGGTCTATAACAACAATAACAACAACAATAACAGTAACAACAATTCAACCACTGATGACACTAATTACGTCACTAGGTTGGTGAAGTAGTAGTAGTAGCAGTAGTAGCAGCAGCAGCAGCAGTAGTAGTTAATAATTTTCTCTTTAATAAATAATAATTTAAATAATTAAATATAATCATTAAATCACATTATTGCAACGATATTCTTTTTCAATTAAAGATACGAAGGGCTTGACCTAGAAACGAACCTGACACAGTTAAAACCCTACACGAAAGTAACGATACAGGTGCAATGCTGCACGATCATTGGTTGCCTCTCTAGCCAATCAGAGCAGACCATTGTGACGTTAGAGGAGGCTCCGGCCAATCAAGATGCTCCGTCCGTCACTGCCCTGAATGCAACGGCCCTATTGGTCAGTTGGTCACCTCCAAATAACCCAAATGGTAATAATGCGTTGGCTGTTTTGCTCCATATCTTCACACGCAAACGCATTTTTCGCAAATTAATTGATTAATATAATAATTAGTTAATTAATTGATATATTAATTGAAATTTAAGGTATCATCATATTTTACGAGTTGTGGCTACGATCTCCAACAACAACCAACAACAACAACAACGCAACAACAACAACATACAGTGAGCCTAGAATGATATTCAACCCATCCGGCCAATACGATCCTTTGATAGTTCCATCTGGAACCTCGTCGTTACCTCCACCTCGAACTAATTTCACTGCCGTTAATTTGGCCCCTTTCAGTAATTACGAATTCAAAGTAGTCAGCGAGAACTCGTTCGGAAGATGTGAAAGTGTCTGGAATGGGGGCTATACTAAAGAAGATGGTTCGTTCTGATTGGTCGGTTGATTAGCTGGTCGGTTCATTGATTGGCTGACTGGCTGGCTGATTGTCTAGTTCTAATTGATTGATTGGTTATTTACTGAATAATTTTCTAAATGGTTGATTGGTTGGCGGTTGGTTAGTTGATTGGCTGATTGACTTGGTTGATTGACTTGGTTGATTGACTTGATTGATCGACTTGGTTAATATGATTTGTGTGTGTAAACTCGTGCAATAGCATATTTGTTTCGTTATGTTACACGTTTGATGGAAAGTATGACCTATGTTTTTGTATCATCTTTTTTATTATTTATTTAGAATTACTTTTCTATTAATTAATTAATTAATTAACCCATTAAACCTTAATGTGACAGATTCCGTCAGAGTCTGATTTGTTTGCTAAAAAAATAATAATTGAAATAAAAATCAATAAATTTTTCTTAACGTAACCAAAATAGATAAATATTTATCTATAAACAATCAAATAAATATTTATCTAGCGCTAGATAAACAGACAAATAAATATTTATCTAGCGCCAGACAAACAGACAAATAAATATTTATCCAGCGCCAACTTTTGTCTCCGCTCCCAACGTAACCATGGCAACCAAGAGCCAACTGCAGTTAACCTGGTCAGATCAGAGTTCAAAGATTAACGGCGTCGTTAGGTCACGTGCTATTTGCCACGTGGTTGGCTACGTCATCGATATCTCAGGCTCTGATTCGTGGAAGGTTGGTATTGTAATTTTGATGATTGGTACTGCTGGGCTGCTGCTGATGATGATGGTGATGATAATGATGATGAGGATGGTGATGACAATGATGGTGATGATGATGATGAGAATGGTGATGATGAGAATGGTGATGATGACGATGATGATAAATATGGCGATGTTGAGAATGATGGTAAAGAACAAAATATGATGATGACGTCATCTAAATAAAATTATAATAATGAGTTCATTCAAATATTTGAAATGGATTTATTTGCCACGCATTTACGCCACCACTACTACTACCACCACCACCATCACCACCAGTGTGCCAACCTGTCATCAACCACCTACACGTACAACCTCACCAACCTGCCCCCCTACTCCAATATCTCCTTCTACATGGCCCTCTGCAATTCCGTCGGCTGCTCTAACAGCCAAGTCACGTGGTCTGTGACGTCACTGGCCGGTAGGTGCTATTAATTATGTAGCATTCATTTCATTCAATAATTCAATTTATTTTATCTTCTAATAATTACAGCGCCAGATAAACTGAAATCTCCAGTTGTAATCCCACTGAACAGCACATCCCTAAAAATTACCTGGACCCCACCGGCCGTTTTGAACGGGCCTCAGCCTAATTACGTAATCCGGAGATCTCAACCGGCATTTAGTAATACTCCAGTGCCAGTTGAAAGGGGTAATACCACGGTGTCCTTTGACGGTATTGGGTACTATAAGTTTGATGCCAATGTCGTACCGCAGGGTGTTGCTTATACTGGTTAGTTTGATTGGTTTGTTGGTTGAATGGTATGTTGTTTGATTGGTCGGTTGGTTGGTATGTTGTTTGATTGTTTGGATGATTGATTGGATGGCTGGTTGGTTGGATGGTTGGTTGATTGGATGGTAAAATGGTTGGTTTTTATTGTTTGGTGGTTCAATGTTGTTCATTTGCAATTGATTTATCTATTCATTCATTCATTCATTCATTCATTCATTCATTCATTCATTCATTCATTCATTCATTCATTCATTCATTCATTCAAACAATCACCGATTATTCATTTAATCGAGCATCCATCCAATCCAGGTGTAAAGTTTTCATTTAGATCGAACGGCAACGACGGGATAATTTTATTGAGCGCCTCGCCAGGTAGTCAGGAGGAATATTTTGTTATCTTTCTCTCTGCAGGATCTTTGGTCTTTACATTCAACACGCAAGGTGCGACAAAAGATCAATTATATTCATAACTAATAACAATAGCAATAATAGTAATAATTATTATAATATTAATAATAATTATCATAATAATAATAATCATCATAATTATATATTACTTCAACTTATACATGTATCTGTATATCATTATTGCTAATACTATTGTTCGTTTACTTTAGTTATTATTATTGTTATTATTTATTATGATTATTATAATTATTTTTATTAATATTATTATAGATTGTCCGGTATACGTACAGTCAAAGTATCCGGTGAATTCGAACGGCTGGCACAATGTGTCTATTTATAGATCTGGGAATTTCGGAACTCTTCAAGTGAATGACTGGGAAATTTGTGAGTAACCTTTTAAAACTGAAACTGAAACCGAAACAAAATGTTGAATATTGTTTCTGATATCATCGTTGTTATAAAATCTGAATTAATATTATATATATATATTCATTCAATCAATCAATCATCAACTGTTCATTCATTCGTGCATCCATCCAATCATTCATCCATCCAATTAGTTTTAAATTATTATTAATTCTAATCTGTTTATATGTCCTTCGATCCATCTCTTCTACACTGTGTTGGTGTGTTTGTGTGTGTGTATGTGTGTGTGTGGTGTGTGTATGTGTGCGTGTGTATGGTGTGTGTGTTTATTTTAATTTACTTATGTTTAATCACATTTTTATTAATTAGCACTTTTCTTAATTAAATTAATTTCCTTAATTAAATTTATTTTATTTATTTAATTATAACTACAATAATAATTATGCAAAATTATTTCTTTCCATAGCGAACTCCTCAAAGGCATGTACCAATCAGATCATTGGGTTCAGTGACGGAGTTTACATGGGCGGAGTCCCGCATGATTTTACGTTCTCTGATTCGTCGCCGTTCGATGTTTGCATAATTTACATAAATTATTGAATGCGATTGAATAATAAATAATGATAATTTACATAATTAGACAATCTACATATACATAAAGTTGTAAGTTACTGTATAGCAAATGAGGTACTGGTGAGCAAAATGTCACTGTCATTCATTTTCATGTGTTTACGGTTTAAAAAAATGGTTTTTAATTATTTATTCTTAACAAATAAAACTCTGACAGAGGCAGAATCTGTTACTAAATATTTTGCCTCTGTCGGATTTTTATTTTTTCAAAAAATAAATTTAATTAAATTTAAATTTGAGTACAGTCTTCGAGGCTCATCCTAACCATTCCTAATTGGTTCTTTTAAGTTGATTAGGGATGGGTGATTTTTAAATTTGCGACGAAATTTGTCTAAAAAATTATTTAAAAAAAAAACTTGAGATATAAGAGTTGAGAGGAGAGTTTTGGAGCGCGCAGTTCAGGAATACAAATTATATTTTAAAAGAATTAATTGAAAATGTTTACCGTAATCACGCACCTCAACTTTGAAAGTACTTCGCTTCCATTCAATAATCAAAAGTACAATCGATTCTAGAAGTGATGGAAGGTGATGAAATTATTTTAAATTATTCAATAAAAGTCGCGGAATTTGAAAAATTTCTACGGCTGCATTCGAGACGTTTCAATCATGACCCAATTTCCGCCTCTCGAGGAACAATGGACCGCCCTAGATTTCAAGATGCTCTCGGATTGGTCGACGAACGTCCAATCACGCTGGCTGGGATGCAGGACCAATCAGGATAACGGGATTCGATTTATGGGTACCGGTTAGTGTAGTGGCAATTTTTGATGTTTTGATTAAATAAATATTATTAGATTACATTTATTAGATTACAATTGAGTGTTAAATAATTAAAATATTATTTAATCATTTGTCTTTAGGTTACCTGACGTTCAAGATTGACAATTTAAACGACCAAGTTTTACTGAGTGACATCAACTTTTCTATGAGAACACAATCTAGGGATGGGCTGATAATATTCGCCCGAGGCGGTATCGGAACTTATTACATCGCCTACATGAGGGATGGGCAGTTGAACTGGGACTTGTCGATAAACGGTTTTGTTTCAAGGTACAGAAGCAATGGAACGTTACTATGCGATGGCGGTCAACATACTGTTAGGCTGTTCTTCGACCTAACTTTAAAGTTGGTTGGTTGGCTGGCTAGTTGATTGATTGATTGGTTGGTTGGCTGGCTGGCTGGCTAGTTGATTGATTGGCTGGCTGGCTAGTTAATTGATTGGTTGGCTGGTTAGTTGGTCAGTTGGTTGAATAAATGACTAAATGTTTAAACAATGGGACGGATGCTGGCGTACAATGACAAAATGCCGTGCCACCGTTGAACCCTAACCCCACCCAGCACGATGACGATTACGATCGACGATCTGCAAAGGACGTCACCACTCGTCAACAGTGGCGCACCCTTCAGAGGCGGCAGTTTCATTGTCTCAAGTTTCGTTTATTTGGGTGGAATTTCCAGCCAGGCGGAAGCAGGGATGGATGATTATTTGGAGCAAAATGGCCTCAGCGGATTGAAGAAATTGCGTTAGGGTGTTATACTTTTTTAATATAAAAACCGCTATAATTTTAGCAGTGGTGGGAAGATGGCATGATAGCTTAGAGCATCATATACCGCGCGTTTCTCTAAGAAGTTGAAGTTCGTGAATGAAGGAAGTTTGTGAATGAAGGAAGGATGCAGTCGAATCCAGTCACTGTGACAGTAGTGCCAGGCATCTTAACCATTACTCTACTAACTACACTACCCAGTACCATCATAATTTTTTCATTTCCATAGTCGTCATCTTCAATGCTACCTCAGATTTTTCTGGTTGCATCAACTCTGGCATACGCCTGGCGAACTCGAATGGCCAGATGTTAAAGATAGGCAAAATCGCCGATGCAAGTGACGTCGATTTAACCGGCTGTCCAAACATTGTGAGGTCGTCATCAGCCGCGCCACCAACATCGTCGTTGTCGCCACCAGCATCGTCGTCGTCATGTTTTGCGATCGCCGATCGCTTTACCGTGGTTTATAATTCGAGTAGTAGTAGTAATATTTATAATAATAATAATAATAGTAATAATAATTATGGTAATAATAATAATAACAATAATGGCGGTAGTCCCATTTTGTCATTCGTTGATAACGGTCTGGATCTATTCACAGGTTTGACGGCACGATTTGACAATATGTTATTATTATTATTTGTTATTATTATTATTTGTTATTATTATTATTACTATTATTATTATTATTATTACTATTATTATTTCTATTATTATTACTATGAATGTTGCTGCAAAAGAGTTAGTTGTCCAACTTGTGCTAACTCACTGTTTCTAAACGTTTTTCTGGTTTCATTTGGTTCTTAGGTTCATTTTGGTGGGAAACATTGCAGAAACATGGCGGTTTTATTTCTAATAAGTTTTATTGTAGTTTTATTTTAGTTTTAATTTTTAAAATATCCTAATTTTAATTTTAAAATTCAATATGGCGGTTGGCGGTTTGATGTACCTACTGCAACAAGTCTCTAGGGACATTCCTGTCTCTGTATACATTAAACGTTCGCTAAATTTTAACTTGAAGAAAACAATCCTATCTCCTAACTCAAGTACCATATATAATTTTGATAATGTAATTTTTAATTCTGTGAACCACAATTCTAAGAATAATAATGACGATAATAATAATAATAATATGCTGTCATGTTGTTGCGGTACAATCTGCAAGGAGAGAGAAGGTTTTAAAATGAATCAATCTATTTAAATGTTTCTAAATGCTAAATTTTTAAAACTCTGGGAATTTTGGACAAAAAGTCGATACAAACGACGACTCTAGTTTTCCCAACTCGCCTCTGCAACCAGTGTTTGCTTCCTAAGCCGACAACGTAATATCTTCTTCAGATTCAACACCAGCTTTAACAACAACAGAAAAATCACATCCCATTATCGAGCTGCCAAGAATTGAAGCAGGTTGGGCTGAGACAAACTTTCATTTTTAACTCCAAAGAAATGAACCTGCAAATTTCAACAACCTTGACGAAACTACCAACGAAGTTCAAAATGTAACTTACAACTATTTTGCAAAAAAATATGGAATAGTTAAATCTCCAACATCCATTAATGAAATCAACTCAAACAAATCCATTAGAACATTAAAAAGTAAGCTGGAACAATTCAGACATTTAGACTAAAACAACCAAAAGTCGAAAATCCAGAAGTTTCGATATTTGCCGAATCGGTTTTTGAAAATTGCCGACCAGTTTCGACACTTTTCAAGTCGTTTCGTCTCTTTATTGTCCTTACAATAACATCATCGAAGTTCTAGAACTAACAGTGTGTCACGAAACAAATTTGACAGAGTTGAAAGATTTTAAAATTAACAAATTTAATCAAAATTTGTAATTACATCTAAAATGCGAATAAAGTAACTTTAAACTCTCAATAAAAACTTTTTAAATTTCTGTATTAAGATCTTATAGTACCTATAGATCTTATAGATCTTTCAACTTATTGCTAGTCAGTTTAGTTTAGTCTGAACAATTTAGAAACATTTTAATAAACTCTATATTATCTTCATCATATTCAATATGTAGCGACTGACAAACCGAATGAATCTTGTTTCAAACTAACAACTCCCATTAGTTAGTACCATGGATACATCCATGGTTACTAGGCCTACTCATTCGTATTGAGTGGGTGAGCAGCAATATAAACTGCCAGTTCCTTTGAATTTTAACTCTATTTTATCTTTTTTTTAACTCTATTTTATCGTCCTTTAACTTTATTTTATCTTCTTTTAACTCTATTTTATCTTTTTTAACTCTATTTTATCTGATTATACTGATAGTTCTTTTCACACTGTTCACATTTGTTATTATTATTATCATAATTTGTTATTATTATTATTATTTATTTTTATTATAATTATTTATTATTATTACTTCCATCATTGTCATCATCACCAGAATACACGTACCAGGTTGAAGCGTATAACGAGGCTGGCCTGGTTGAGAGCGCCTGGACTTTGGGAAGGACTCTGGAAGGAGGTGAGTGAGATATTCGATCAATTGATTGGTTGGTTAATTAGTTAATTAATTAATTAATTAATTAATTGAATGTTTGATTAGCTGGCTGGTCGGTTAGTCGATTGTTTGTTGGGATAGTTGATTGGGTGACTGACTAGCTAGCTGGCTTTTTACTGGCTAGTTGCCTGTCCGGCAGGTTGATTGGCTAGCTGGCTGTCGATTGTCTGACTGACTGACCAATCAACCAAATGACTGACTGATTGTTGAATGAATGAATATAAATTAAGAAATAAATTCTTCGTTATTATAATCACCACTACGTTTCAACCAATCAAAATTTGTTTCACTTCTCACCAATCAAAATTTTTTTCATCTACCTCTCAACCAGTCATAATCATTTTCTCCATACTTCTCAACCAATCGTATTTTTTCACCAATCACAATTTTTCTCATCTACCTTTCGTCCAATTATATCATCCCTATCTACTCTACCGACCAATCACAAAACAGCTCCTCAAACAGTGCCCGCCCTCCAGTACAGCAAGACCCCCCGTGCCGGGTCAATCATTTTTTCCTGGCCCCCTCATACTCTTCAATACTACACTGGCTCCATTCAAAAATACTACATCAGATTTTACTGCTACTCCAATGATACTAATAGTACTACAAGTAGTAGTAGTAGTAGTAGCGACAGTGGCAACAGTAGTAGCAGCAGCAGTAGTAATGGTGGTAGTAGTAATGACAGAAATAATTTACCTGGTTATGTCAGTCCTTGCTCTTTCAATCAAACTGAATTAAGAGGAACTGAAACAGGCGGTATGTCTTATTGTGTGTGTGTATCTGTGTGTGTGTGTGTGTGTGTGTGTGTGTGTGTGTGTGTGTGTGTGTGTGTGGTGTGTGTGTGTGTCATTGTGATTGTTTGCATGCATGTGTGTGTGTGTGTGTGTGTCATTATGATTGTTTACATGTGTGCATGTGTGTGTGTGTGTTGTGTGTGTGTGTCATTATGATTGTTTGCATGTATATGTGTGTCATTGCGATTGTTTGCAATTGAATTGTGTTTGTGTGCACATTGTTTGTATTTACGATTGCCAATATACAGTAATATTCCTCCCCAACTACGACTCAGTCTCACTCTTTCTCCGATCCCATTCCCGCCCGATCGTTTTGTTTCTGGCGGGTTGTTTTCACATTAAGCCTCACTTCAGATCTAGAAATTCTTCCCAAACTCTCTCAAAAACACAAAAAATTATCATTAAATCGTAAAATTTACGACTTTTGCACTGCTAATAGTACTCGCCGGTTGATTCATTTTGCACTGAAACTCATGGATTTCAAGGCATTCCAGAACTTTTGGAAAATTTTCACGGTCAAATTCAAACAGAACATCTTAGAAAAATGTCAACAGTTGTTCAACCTCCATTTCATTTTCTCCCGAAATACTTTGGGCTATCATCTTAGTTAAGGTCACCATTAATATAGCATTCATTGCTAAGGTTGCACCTTTTTCTTTCATTATTTGATTGAAATAAACTTGTGAAAAAAAAAGTTTCTTGAGTTCAAAACCAAAATTTGTATTTATCTGAAGCATGATAGAGCAGAAAAGCTTTTTTCGGTATTCTTATACCATCTTCGGTGTTCGAATTGATACGTTGTGGTTGGGCCCAGATGCTCAAATATTTTTATACTGTGCCTATTTATTGGCTCCTTGTTTGTTTAAAGTGAATCTTTAGTGCTTTAATCTTCAACATCGTTAAATATAACATTTTTATGTGTTTTCAGTATCGATAATTCCTCTCTTTCTGAATTTATTGGTAGGAAGAATTCCAATTGCCATTCGTTGGATATTTATTATCGGTACATCTTGTGTACTTTTTTTTATTTGGTTGTAAATATGCTTTCTACACATTCACAACCTGATTTAATGATACTAAGGAGTGATACTAAAGAGTGATACTAAAGAGTGATACTAAGGAGTGATACTAAAGAGTGATACTAAGGTATGATACTAAGGAGTGATACTAAGAAGTGATACTAAGGAGTGATACTAAGGAGTGATACTAAGGAGTGCCACTATACTCATTATTCGTTGTTATATTCATCATCCTCATCGCCACCATCGTCAAACTCGTCATCATCATCATCATCACCATCATCACTATCATCATCATCACCGTCACCATAGTAACGGTCACGTGGCTGATACCTTACACGACTTATGACGTCAGACTGGTCGCCTGCACCAGTGGCGGATGCAAGGAGGGAGATGGGATCATCATCAGCACCGATCCTGATGGTTATGATGATGATGATGATGACGATGGTTATGATGACGATGGTTATGATGATGATGACCTTGGCGATGATGATGATGTTGATGATAGTGATGGATATAAGTTGTTTTAAAAATAATCCTAAAATAACTTAATCTATAAAAAGTCTTGAAAAAAAAAATCCATCCTAGCTAAAAATAACTCAAACCAAAAATAACCATTCTATAAATAGCACCGGCGGAGTTGCAGCCCCCATACGTCATCACCAGCACTCCAACCAGCATTCTCATTGGTTGGAATTATCCCAGGTATATGAACGGCGAGTTCTTGGGTTTCACTCTGAATTTGAGGAACGTCCAAGTTTACTACGGATTACTGCGTTATTTTAATGTTACTAAGTTGAATGTTAGTCGGTTGGTCGGCTGGCTGGTTGGATGGTTGGTTGGTTGGCTGTTTGGTTGATTGATCGGTTGGTTGGCTGGTTGGTTGGTTGGTTGGCTGGTTGTTTAATATAATTGCTATTTAAATGACATATTTAATGGCTTTGTTATCATCAATCAATATACCATATACCATAAATTAACATAAATTAACATAAATTAGCATTAATTAATTCTGTCAAAAGGTTTACACCTCGTACACTTTCTCATTGCTGGCTTGCAACACTTTCAAGTTGGTTTCTATTTTTCTTTTTTTCTATTTGATTTTTCTCTTCAGTCCATCTGTACATTCATTCATCCGTTTATTCATTCATTCGTTTCATTCGTTCGTTCGTTCATTCATTCATTCATTCATTCATTCATTCATTCATTCATTCATTCATTCATCATTCATTCATTCATTCATTTATTCATTCACTCATTCATTCATTCATTGAAATTTTTCACACACACTTACAAACACACACACACACACACGCGCGCACACGCACACACACACATACACGCGCGCGCACACGCACACACACACACACGCGCGTCAGATGTACGCAGAGTGATGACGTATTCCTGATGACGTCAGAGATGCCGCCATCTCTTGTCCTCGCGCCAAACGTTACTATAATGGGTTGGAGATTTTTATTATCTTTCATTCATTCATTCATGCATTCATTCATTTATTTATTCATTCATTCATTTTTCCATTCATTCATTCATTCACTCAGTCAGTCAGTCAGTCATTGTTTATAATTTTTTTATCCAATCACATTCATTCGTTCATTCATTTGCTCTTTTTTTCTTTCGATCAATTAGTCTCAGCAACATTTTCTTTCAATCCACACCACAGACGCAAAGAAGATCAAGATTGATTGGTCGAGGCCCAGCCAATCAAATGGCCTCATAACAGAACACCATCTATTCTTATCTATGATTGGTGGAAAATTAGGTGACCTAGTTTACAACGGCAAAGATCCCAATGTTTACGTGACCTACTTGAATAAGCTGACACCTGACCTGTCCTACTTTCTAACTTTGGAGGTACAATGTGGTTGATGATTTTTAGACCAAATTGAAACTTGAATTTGAAATTACATTGAAAACCTCTGTAAACTTCAATCAATCAATCAATCAATCAATCAATCAATCAATCAATCAATCAATCAATCAATCAATCAATCAATCAATCAATCAATCAATCAATCAATCAATCAATCAATCAATCAATCAATCAATCAATCAATCAATCAATCAATCAATCAATCAATCAATCAATCAATCAATCAATCAATCAATCAATCAATCAATCAATCAATCAATCAATCAATCAATCAATCAATCAATCAATCAATCAATCAATCAATCAATCAATCAATCAATCAATCAATCAATCAATCAATCAATCAATCAATCAATCAATCAATCAATCAATCAATCAATCAATCAATCAATCAATCAATCAATCAATCAATCATTCAATCATTCATTTATTTATTTATCCAATCAATCACTCAACAGACATGCACGTCGGCAGGCTGCACTCCGTCGACCCAAACTCCATTCCGCATGCCGGAAGGAATTCCGGAAAACATTCGCGATCCGGTCGTCGTCCCTCTCTCCCCCACCCAGGTAAACGTAACATGGCTACCGCCGGAAAATCCCAACGGAGTTATTTTAAACTACAGGATTTCCCGAAATGCCATTTCCATCATCAACTCGAGTGAAAGTGGGAGCAGGGTCATTGACAACCTACAGCCCTGGACTAAAGTCAGCATCCTACTGGTGGTGTGTAACTCGAAAGGGTGCGGTCAAAGTTCAGAGGTTACTGGGTACAGTCTTGAAGGTCAGCCGGAGGGGGCTATTGTATTGAGAGTAGAAGAGATTGATGTTGCTACTGCTGCTGCTACTGTCGCAGCTACGACCACAAGTAGCTACAGTAGTAACGGCAACAATACGGTTGTTAATGCGCTGTTGGTGAAGTTGGTTACGAAAATGTTGAGAGTTCGGTGGTCGCCAGCCAGTAAGCCCAACTCCCTACTCACCTATTCCGTCTATTTCACCGGAACTTTCCATGACTTTACTGGAGTCAACAGTCCGAAAGATTTCAGTCAGTTTGCAATCAAGTTTTCATAATAAATAAATAAATTTATAATATTAAATGTATAAATATTTATAAAGTAATTAATAAATTTAATAAATTAATTTAATTCAATTCCAAGTTAATATATGTTGATCTGTTTTATGAGTTATTTCTGCAAAATTACTTCAAAGAATTTAAAACCGTCTCCACGACTCGTTTGACCTTCACGACGAATTCGACCTTGACGTCCGGTTCTTGGATTTCTATTGGTGGATTCCTGGCCAATCAGCTGTATCGTGGCTACGTGAATGCAACCAATAGCGTTGGATACCTACTCAGTGACGTCGTTACGGTCAACACGTCATCTGCCGGTTAGAAATTTTTTTTAAAGAAATTTTAAAAGATTATATTATAATTATTTTTAGATTGTTTTATATTTTTTGTCATAATTTTTATTATCTGATAATTTTGATATTATTCCTTAATTGTAAAATTAATTATCAACTTAATTTTCGAAAAAAATTTAAGTTTCTCTCCGCACAGGTTGAAAAAATAATTTTTGATAAAATAATTTTTGCAGAACCAGATGGCGTCCTTCCACCCCTGCTGACCTCCCCCTCTTCGTCCGCCATATTGGCCACATGGTCAGGCCCACTCATCCCTAATTCAAACGAGATCTCGCTCTACCAGCTGCAGTTCAGAGTGGCCGGAGCGCCAGACAGTTCGGTTGTCAGGTAAGGGATGGATGTAATTTTCCAGGGATGGGATTTTATAGGGATGTGATTTTTTGGCGGTGTGATTTTTTAGGGATGTGATTTTCTGAGATGTGATTTTTTGGAGATGTGATTTTTTGGCGATGTGATTTTCTAGGGATGTGATTTTCTGGAGATGTGGTTTTATAGGGGTTGGTGAGGTTTCATTTTGTCTGTACTGATGAGGATGATGATGACGACGATGAAGATGACAATTATGACGACGATGATGATGATGATTATGAGGATGGTGTTGATAATGATGATGATATCGATGATTATTATGATGATGATCATCATCATCACCGTAGTATATTTCCGACGACAACGCTCGCGACCTCCTACATGAAATCTGACCTTCGACCTTTTACTTCCTACTCCTTCCGATTGGTTGCTATAAATATACACGGCTCGGGCTTCTCTGATTGGTCGGATCTGACGACGCGGCAAGACGGTGCATACATTAACATAATTTTTCATCACTGTATATTTTTCTCATCGTATATCATCATTATTATTCCACAACTCTAACCCTCATCGCTATCATCACCATCACCACCACCACCGCAGTCCCAACTGGATTTGACGCCCCAGTAGTCTTGGGTGTGACCTCGAGGTCGTTGACCCTTGCCTGGCATCCGCCCCTGGCTACAAATGGCATCATTTTGAACTATGACCTCTACATAAATGATACCAAATATGGAGAGGTATGTTATGGCTGTTGTCGGTTCGGTGGTGATAGTAGTGGTAGTGGTAGTAATAGTAGCAGTGGTAGTAGTAGGGGTAGATGTAGTAGTAGTAATAATAGAAGTAGCAGCAGCAGTAGTAGAAGTAGTAGTATAATAGTTATCTTTGTTGTCGAAATTGTTGTTGTAAATGTTGTTGTCGTTGTTTTGCTGTTGTTGGCATTATTATTATTATTATTGTTGTTGTTGTTGTTGTTACAACACTAATTAACCGTCATTTCAACTAATATCATCATTATTACTATCACCGTCATCACCATCATCATCTTCATGACATCATCATCATTGTCATGGCATCATCATCATCCTCATGACATCATCATCATCACCAATCTCATTACATCATCACCATCATCATCTTCATGACATCATCATCATTCTCATGACATCATCATCATCGCGTTTAACGGAAATGAACGTTTCTAGGCTACCGGAAACGTGACGTCATACAACTTTGTCGACCTCAGCCCGTACACGGCCTTGAACCTGTCCATGAGGGCGTGTACAATTGCCGGCTGCACTGAGAAGAGGTACCAAACGAAGCTGGCCACAACTTTGCCAGACGGTACTTTGAGTATTAGTATCATTACTACTACTACTACTAATACTAATACTACTACTACTGCTGCTACTACTACTACTACTACTACTACTACTACTACTGCTACTACTACTACTACTACTACTGTTACTATTATTATTACTACTACTACTACTACTACTACTACTACTACTACTACTGCTACTACTACTACTACTACTACTACCACTACTACTACTGGTACAGCTACTACTATTATTACTACTACTACTACTACTACTACTACTTCTGCTTCTGCTACCACCAAAAACTACACACACACACACACACACACACACACACACACACAGACAGATCAATTTACACACACACATTTGCGTATTATAAAAAGATTCATTCATTCATTTTCATTCATTCATTCATTAAGTAAAAGTAATTAATTAATTAATTAATTGACAATTGTAAAGCGCCAGATAATGTGGCCATCGATAGCATGACGTCACCGTCACCTACTTCCGTTTTGCTGACGTGGAAAGCCCCCAGTAGACCTAACGGGGTTATAATGCGCTATGAGCTGTGGAGAAAGAGCAACAATAATACATCAACGTCATCATCATCGTCGTCGTCATCGTCATCACAACCGACAAACGAAACCGAAACCGAAACTCTCATAAAAACAATTCTGCCCACCGAATCAACGGTCGAAAGTGGGAATGGGAATTCCCGGACTTTCGTCTACCTGGATGAGTCATCCGGATTACTTCCATACACGGTGTATCGGTATAAACTCGTCGTTGTCAACCATTTCTCTCTGGCCGCCAGCGATTGGCTTTTCATACGAACTATGTCGGCCAGTTAGTGTCATTATTTTCCGTTCTTTGTTGTTGTTGTTTCAAATTTAAATTTTGTAGTACTTGCAGTAACTTCTGTAGCGACAGCAGTGGTAGCAGTGTTAGAGGTATTAGTAGTAATGGCAGAACCGAATTGAAGACAGGTCAAGTTGGTGTTATATCAGTGTTATGTTTGTTGTTTTGAATTTAAATATTGAAATACTTGTAGTAGTTATAGTTTTTGTAGTAAGTGAAGTAGCTACAGAAGCAGTAGCAGCAGTAGCAGTAGTAAAAGTATGGGTGGATTCAAGACAGACAGATGGAGCAGCAGACCTGTCTATTGTTCCATATTTTGCATTTTTATTTTTTGACAAGTTTATCCTTTGAAACCCGATTAGACGAACATAAGAAGTAAGCATAAAAATGTAGTAGAATACCATGAATAACACGAAGACGTAATGGCAGTAGTAGCAATACAATGCAATACAATACAACATGCCATACAAAAAATACAATACAACATACCATACAAAAAATACAATACAATACAATGCAATACAATACAACATACCATACAATACAATACAATACATATATTACAACGCATAATGCGTAGAACAGTTAATGTTGCCGGAATCATTTTTAAAAATCAAGGTGTTGTTTTGACAGGAAAAAATAGAAGAAACTAAAATATAAAATTAAAAGTGTTTACCTACATAAAACTAAACTCGTAAACTAGAAGCAGTAGCAGCTGCGGTAGTAGCTGCAGCAGTAGTAGTAATAGTAGTAGTAGTAGTAATCATAGTTATGATTATCATCTCACAACTTACCACCACCATCATCATCATCAGGACCATCCGGTCTAGCCGCCCCCTACGTAGTGGCCGAGAATTCCACTTCCGTTCGAGTCACGTGGTCTGAGCCAAAGACACCAAACGGTCAATTGCAACGTTACGTCATTTCCGCCGACGCCCTTTTGAAGGTGGAGGTCAACAATTTGACGCTGAGGTCCTTGACGATCGGTGGCTTGAAGCCGTACACCGTATACAACGTCACCGTCACCGCCTGTACCGGTAACTTAGTTTAATTAAATTTTAATTATTTTTAAATTGATTTATTAATTACTATTATTATTATTATTTTAATTATTATTAAAATATAGAAAAATATTTGTACTTTGTATTTAATATTTTGAAAAATATAGAAAAATACCGGTACCTTAGTTTAATTAAATTTAAATTATTTTTAAATTGATTTATTAATTATTATTTTTTTTATTATTATTATTTTTATTATTATTAAAATATAGAAAAATATTTGTGTGATAGGTAGTTTAGTATTTTTTTTTAGTAACTTTCTGTCGAAACATCAAAATGAATACTTTCATTATTTTTCTGACGTGTTTATTGTATTGTATTGTATTGTATTGTATTGTATTGTACTTTATTGCGTTGTATTGTATAATATTGCATTTTTGTATTGTATTGTATTTGATGGTAATTTATTGTATTTTATTGTATTTTTGTATTGTATGTTTTATTGTATTGTATTGTATTATATTATTTGTATTGTATGTTGTATTGTATTGTATTTTTCTGACATATTTATTGTATTGTATTGTGTTGTACTTTATTGTGTTGAATAGTATTGCATTGTATTGTATTGTATAATATTGCATTTTTGTATTGTATTGTATTTGATGGTAATTTATTGTATTTTATTGTATTTTTTGTATTGTATGTTTTTTTGTATTGTATTTTATTAGTTGTATTGTATGTTGTATTGTATTGTATCGTATTTTCTTATATTGCATTTAAATTATAACATGATTATGTTCTATTTGATCATAATTATTTTTAAAGATGGCGGATGCACCGAGAGTTTACCCTTTTCCTGTACAACCAAGCCAGCCAATCCGGAAGGACTTAACCCGCCATTGGCCAGACCCATTTCACAAAACTACATATCGATCTATTGGGGACCGCCCACCAATCAAAACGGACCAATAGGAAGATTCGAACTGCTTAGGATGACTTTGGATCAACCGCTGATTGGTTGGTTGGTTTGTTTGATTGGTTGATTGACAGCTTGATTTAATGATTAATCAATAGATGATTTCAGCTATTTTTATGAATATTAATATCATTATTATTGTTATTCTTTTCCTGATAAATTTTGCAGACAACCCCATTGCCCTAGGGTTCTGGTTCAGCATGTACACAGGTGACCTTTTGACCTTCGACGACCTCTACAACGTCACCCCCTACTCTACTTACATTTACAAACTGACCTACTTTAACGGCTTCGGATTGGTCAGTAGCTTAAATTCCACAAACGTTACGTCATACGGGGGCCTGCCGAGGTCACGACCTTTGATAACCGTGACGTCATTGGGGTACTCGAAGGTCAAGGTCGGTTGGGTTCTACCGGATGTAAGGGGCTTGCAAGGAAGGGCTGAAAACATATCTATAAGAGTTTATAAACTTGACGATGACAGTAATGGCATTGTTAATTCTACAAAATATGACGTCACCACTCCTACTACCACTTCTACTGTTGCTGGTATCGTTATTTCTCCTGCTACTACTACCGCTAGGCCGTCTTATCTGCAACCTCCGACAACAACACCATCGACTACAACAACATCAGCGAAGTTATTTTTGTCGCCACCGTCACCAAAAACGCCATCATTGCCACCACCATCACCACCAATTCCAATTCGCGTGGTTAACGTGAGTCTCGCCACCAGCGGCAACCACACCACAAACAATAACAACCCGACCTACATAATCGTCGACGACCTTGACCCCTTGACCCAATATTCGGTCGCCTTGACTACCGTAACGTACGGGGGTTACAATGTTGAAAGTGACACTGTCGAATTCACAACCGGAAGTGGAGGTATTGGTGACGATGATAACGATGATGATGATGATGTTGTAGATTATGATGATGGTGATGACGTTGATGACGATGATGATGATGACTGGATTGATGAAACAAGTAGAGACTTATCGTCTAGTGAATTTGGCAAGTGATCGAATTGCGATATAGCTAATGCAAGAAAAGAATCAATTAGAAAAGAATTAGGAAAGAATTAGAATTAGAAAAGAATATTTTAACTCAATTAGAAAAGAATATTTTAACTCAATTAGAAAAGAATATTTTAACTCAATTAGAAAAGAATATTTTTTAGTATGAAAAACAACTTTTTGATGAAAAACAGCAGGCATATTGTGTCTTCCTCACAATTCTTCATCCTTATATTCTATTCCCTCCCTGTTTGAATTCAGAGGTTTGAAGAACTATGACGGCCAAAATATATTTGTCGCCAATTATACTCAATTATTAGTGTTCTAGATAGAGTCTATAGATAGGTGATGGTTAGTGGAAGTA